ATTTATATCAAACCATATTATTATTATAAATAAAAGTGTCTTTTATTGACATCGGGTTAATCAATAATTTTCCCAATCAGCTCGATATATTGATGATGTTGTCAGTGATCAAGCAATACTACTGTAATTATTAATCAATTAAGGCCGCGTAAACAAACAAAACATACAATTTTATATACTAATTCATTATAATAAAATTAATAATAAACATATTGTAATCATATCCCTGCTGATTGAGTGAAAAGTTTTTGTTCTTAAACATTTACTCTACATGTTATAAACGTGTGGTCAAATATTAATTTTGTGGAATATATATTAACATAAAACAAGATATGTAATTAGCAAAATATCATCGTAAAAAGAGCTATTTTAGAAACGTATAGGTTTACTTATTTCACTGATATTTATGAAAAAAAATCCTTTGCCTCGGGTACAGATACCGCCACGAATTAAGAATCGAAAGTATTACGAGGCAAACCGAAGTGGGTCAACGACAAAGTCAAAAGTCAACGACAACTGGAAATAAATCGAAATGCGACAAAGATGGGCAACGAAATGCGACCTCGACCCCTTTCGAAGAGTTCTCCATTTAGTTTAGAGGCTGTTTTAGGCTTTTAGAGCTATTATATAATTTATGTAATTGTGAAATATACGCAACATTTCAGAACTATAGGGAAAATCTAAAATAGGTCCAAGAATTTCGCCATCTTTTGTGCCTTCTGGTTCCGTGCAAATCTAGGAAACTTCCCTTTCGTGTCAAATAAACCAATCAATTCGATTAGCCTTCAACTGTTGCTTAGCTATTTATAATGTTAAGTATTTCGGCCAAGCAGTCGCTATCTGTAAAGCAGCACTAGTGGTAAACTAGCGACCCATCGCATCGCCGAAGAGTGAACAGAACGAGTAAACTAGAGAGAGAGAAAGTAGGAGTCGTTACCGGTGTTGGTAGGTGGGGCGGCAGTGGCGGCGGCGGCGGTCGTGGCGGCTGACGGCCTGCGGCGTGAGAGGGCGGCTGCGGCTGCTCAGCTCAGCGTTATATTGAGGGAGGGGCACTTGCGGACGGTGGCGGGGGCGCGGACCCCGCCGCCGCCCGGCCGGCCTCGCGTGGCGGTGGGGTAGGGGGAGCCTTACCATGCCGGATCCGAGCTGCTGCAGCAGGCCGCTGCTGCCGCCCTGCGAGCCGCCGCCCAGGGCGGCCGAGGGACGCCGCGACCGGATCGACTGCATGCTGCTGCTCAGGAGGAAGGGAACACTGCTGCTGGTGTTTGGCATTGAACCGCCCTGCAATTCGGACAATGCAAATTTAGTAAGAATTGTTAAATGTTTATAAAATATATGCGATTTTTTCCTCATTAATCAAGAGTAAAGGGAGATGACCAATTCGGCATCATTTGCTTTTAAGTAGACAGTAACGATTGCAGCGATGTTAACATTAAAAACTTGCTCTTGCTTTGGTTCTTCATCAACTAATCTATTAAGATTTTATTGTTTTTGAATGTTATCAGTGAAAAGTCGTATTATTAGTGTTTGTTTGGCAGTTACTTTAGCGGATAAGGTTTTAAGTCCAAAAGTGGTATCTGATATTGTTGCATTAATTTAACATAGTAAAGAACAACTTCTGAACTTGAACTGAATGAACCAAACCATCTCTACTAGAGCTAATAAACAATAATAATACTTTTCAATGACAGTGACATTATAAAAACAATGAACATTACTTTATTAATGTTTTGATTGGTACCCCCAAAAACACACTTTAATGCTAAAATTGCTGTAAATAGTTACTAACTTTTTCAACAGCGAATATCTCCAACAAAAAAGTTATTGAGATCAGTCAAAAAAAACAGACTATCGAGATAAATCTTAATTATATAGAGGTTTGTAATTTGATAAATCACTCCACAGTATTGGTGGGTGATGATGTTTAAAAAACTCCAAAAGGAAAAACTTTTCTTTTATTAATATTTTGAGAAAAAATCGTCTTCCATGTTCTAGAACTTTCCCTCATGTTCACGTTACTGTGCATATTTTTTTCTTGGTTTTATTCGAATTTTAGCAGTTTATTCTAGCGTTTGTTAATTATATTTATTAGTTTTTTTTTCGTTTTCTATGGCTTTAGTGTTTTATTTTAAGTGTTTTTTAAACCTTCTTCACCACCACTAGTTCAAAATTAGCCGACTTATCTACTCTTAAGATATCTTGATCAGGATTTGTGTATCTTCCAAACTAAAGATTTTCTACAACTTACAGTTATGAATTTTACTTTTAGATTTACAAGAGTATATTATATTCAATCAGTATTAAATGAAATAAACTAAATGATTAATAGTGCACAAATGTCTTTACTCTTTTATGCATGGTATCAGCATCAGTACTGGAATTGAGATTTTTGAGGGAGCTATAGGTCTGTTGCATTACGATCTATTGTGATTCTAAATACTAGCTCATTCTCTCTCAAATGGAAAGCCAATTAATAATCGCTGCCTTCTAAATACGTTGTACTCTAAATTTAGACTATGGCTTCTAGTGGGCCGATTTTGGTAATTTTTTAAAAAAAATTCTAAAAATAATTCTTCTTAAATTAAAAATTGAATTCCTCATTTGTCTATTATACGAGGGAAAACAAAATGTTTTTTTTTCGTGAATATTTGAATTTCTCGTGAAAAAATTTAACAAAGCAATTTAAAAGCCGTTTAAAAAGACTTCATCCATTAAGGTATATCATCTCTTGATAGTATGATTTTTAATTCATCTCAATAGCTCTTTATTGTTATTGAGATATTCACTTTAGTTAGAAGAAAAAACAATTACAGCAGTTTTAGCATTAAAAAACTTCTTGCTTTTAATCTTCATCAACATATCTGTGAAATGTATTTTATTGTTTTTGTAATGTCACTGTCATTAAAAAGTCATATTATTATTGATCGTTGGCAATTACTTTAGCAGAGATAGTTTTAATTTTAAAGGGTTTCAAACAGATGGGAATATCAATTTTTTATTTAAGAAAGGCTAAAAAGCCACAGAATTTATTTTCGCAACCTAAAAACAATAATTTATCGAGGAAATACTTACTATCATGCTCCGTGCAAGCTAAACAAAAGATACAAAAAATTAGTTTATTCATTAATATTAGTTTACACAAATCTGACACAGAAAAAGGAATTTATGAACGACCAACAGACAGACCGCAAAACCACTCCCTCCGATTGCTTTAGTCCTAAATAAATCTCGCTGTCAAAATACTAGACCGTTAAAACAAATAAACTTGTCAGTTATGGAAATTGCGTTTATTGGACGATACGAAAAAATATCGCGGGAAAAAAACGGCACATTTTTAATGAAAAAACGAAATGAGACGTCAAAAAAGCAATCGGACGAATCGATTTTGGCGTTTGTCGTCGGCAGAGGGAATTGTTATGACAGAAATGACGATGCGGAGATACGTAAAAATCGTAACACAGAACGAGTTGTGGGTATCAGCGGCTCGGATGATGTGAAGTATTGGCATTTCATGTGGGTTAGGTAAAAAAGCGGAGGGACGACGAGCCACGTGTATAAGTTTCGCGAAAATATGTTTAAAACATCGCATATCAATTCTAATAAACGATCCTATAGATCTGAAAACACATATATTGTCAGCTTACAAAAAGTTTAGATTTTAAAGAATTATTCTGATTATACAACTCTATGTATATTTTTCCTATATAGAAGGATGTGATTAATAAGTGATAATCATTTAAGTGATTATCACTTGGTGGCCATATTGTAATTGTCATTTTTTGAAATATTAATTCAGAAGTCATTTCTGTCAGTTCCACAAATTATAATAAAAATGTTATTTCGTTGTATAATCTTTTGAATGCAACTCGATGTTTGGGGATTACCTAATACTTTTGCCTGACGCTCAATGCAATACCGGCAACACTACGACTCCGAAGGACGAGTAACGCATTTCGTGTCAGGTAAAAGTATTATTCGGTAATCCCGAAACATCCAGTACAATCAAGCAAAATTTAAATTTTTCACTAATAAAAATAATTTCACCTAAACGAAAATTGTTCTCTCTATTTTTTTACAAATAACGACAGACTATTTATTCACAATTTCTCTATATAAAGTCAGAAAAAGAATTGAATTTGCGATTGTACCTTTTAAAAAAAGGTTCATTCCACAGAACTTTCACTACACTCTTCTTGTAGTTATTATTGAGGCCTGTTTGCGCATATTACAACCACAATGTTCAAGAACAAGTACCAAATCCTCCACAGGTATATCTGTTCTGTCAAAATCATACGATCTCAGTTGCTGCAAAGTTTGGGAACTCCTTCCAAATACTTAGCTGTATTAAGGTTTTACTTAGTTACTATGGCAACAGAATTACCAAGTCAACTGAACTTTCTATTGCTTAGCTGGTGTCTTTTCAAAGAGAGAAAAAATATCCATTATTATAAATAAAAAAACATAGTTTTAATATAAGTTCAAACCCAATTTTAATTAAGAGGCGAGGTTATTAAACCCGGAAATTTTTACTTACTCAAGAATATTTTTATAAAATTATCCCGAGTCAAAGACAAGGGATAATTTTAATAAGTATTCATAAGCTCGAAGAAAAATCCGGAAATAATTTAACTTCTTGTGGTATTAATAGTGATAACTCAATTAATATAAAAACTCCAATTCATCATCTCCCTGATCATTCCTTCTTAAACTGATAAAAAAAAATATGGGCATTGTCGTCTAGCTTCTCGCGTGCGTTGGTTGACAACATAAATATCCTCCCCAAGACTTTAACAATATCTATGTTCCGCAAGCTGTATCCAGTTATACTCTATTCTCTGTAACTTCTCAGTCTATCGCGTTGGTGGACTCATGCTCTGGCAAAATAAAACAGAAAAAAGATGTGGGCTAAAAATAGGCTTAGGTGAAGAGGTACTGCAACTCAATTTTTTTAATACGTACCTATGCATAGCAAGAATTTAACAAGAAAACTTTTCATTTGAAGCGTGCCATATGCAAAAAGTGGTATGTGCAATTTTATAAATTTTACAGGAGGCGCATTATTATGTTTTGTTTTACCTTACTAAGAAATACAAAATATTTGTGGCTATTACTGACATCATTTTAGATATAGGCAAGTAATAAAACACATACTTTAATGAAAACATTGGTAATAAATTTGTTATTGGCCGCTAATTATCAAAACGTAGTATGTGCCAATAAAGTTGCACATGTATAATGGATTAAAAATCACGTTTTAAACAAAAGATCAACACGTATTGTTTTTCTAACGCCTTTACTAATATACAAAACAGTTTGTGAAATACAATGTTAATAATATAATGCTAATACAAAAGAGGTTCTTATAAACCTATAAGTTGAAACTTATTTTTATTCATTTTGTAGGGCCTCCTGACTCTCCACCAGATTTTGATAAAAGTCTTGATTTGCGGGTGATATAAACGGGATCATACTCCTAATTTCTTTAATTTTTTCTTTGTTCCATTTACGGGGTGCCTGTTCCACCAGTTCAATGTTTAAATTTTCAAAATTTTGTGATGTAACCTTTGGTTTAAACACACCCACTTTGCGCCATGGTGCGACGTCCGAGTACGACGTTTTAACTTCAATTTGCCCTAAGTTGTCCTTAGATATTTTCAGCATAACAGCTTGCGAGATGCCCAGGGTGGAGGTTACTAGGGTAGTTTTTGCAATTTCCATCCAGTTAAAAAATCTAGTGGTGCATTTAATTACAAATGGATTTTTCAAACGAGCACTTGCCATTATACGCACCAAATCCATAGGTACTTCAGGCTTAAGACTTTTTTTGGCTTTTTCTATGCAGCCAAAGTCCCGATCACATGATAGGAATGTGTGGCCACTTTGCGGAAATTTGTGCACTATCTCGTCGAAGTACCCTTTGGCTACCAGGGTAATATAGACAGCCAAAATACCCTGGTTCTTATTCTGCCCTCCGCAGTTATCGGACCATAGGACCAATTTTCGCTTTGTAGTATTAAGCTGAGTTGTAACGTAATCATACAAACAACTACCGATTTCGTTACATCCTCGTTTTCCAGCTGTTTCATCCCACAGGTACATAAAACCTTTCCCTTCATCTTCAAAATGTATTCCCAGATTAATACAAGTAAACTGCCGACTATAGTACATCTGAGTATGAGTCAATGCTGGAATATATAGCTGCTTTTGTAAATCATAAGACAGCACACATACATCAGACTGAGGACTTTTGCAATCTACTATGTTTTGTGACATCATTTTTTGAGCGCTCTCTGCTTTACGTTGATGTAAATCGCGCTTTAGTTCGAATTCTTTTTTTTCTACGGGAGTCTTACTAGCAGCTATTGAAATTTTGTACTGGTCGCAAGTAGGACAGGTGTCCACTCTTGGGGCTCCGAAGGCTAAACTGAATTCTTTCTTAAAAATTTCATTAAACCATTGTCGGGAGACTGGGGGCTTTGTTCCATCAAGCCGATGCTTTTCAAGAAAGGCATTATATAGCTTACGTACATTCAAATCTTCAGAAAGGTATCTCCGGTTTGTAACTTTTTCTCGACTGTAATGGCTTTCTCTGCTAGGAATTGACGCAATAAAATCAATAATTTTTTGTTTCCATAGGGTGTTGTTTCTAGCAGGACGTTTACCACCTCGTTTGTCTTGAACAGATATGCCGGAGGAGAGTATTCGCTGACTAAGTATCTCCAATCTTCTTTGTGTAATAGCCAAAGTTAAACACAAGGTACTTTTACATACCTGAACTTCGGATTCTCCTGGAAGTGGTAGAAAATATTTAAAAGAGTGTTGTCGTCTGCTCTGGTTGGGATTATCGTAATTTCCATGTCTTCTACGTTTGATTAAAGTAGGTCGAATAAGGGAACGTAAAAAGTTCTGCTGCTCATTATAATCTGCCAATTTCCAAAACTGCTCAAACACTCTTTTTCTTGCAGCAACAGTAATTAGCTTACAAGAGTACTGACAGCTGCACTTCACCTAAAAGAATATTTTAATAAAATATATCAGTTCTCTTCAGGATCTGAAAAAGAATAAAACTGTGGTTTTTACTTACCTGTTCACAAAAGCGTTTGCCGGGTATTGGTCGCTTTTGTTTTAGAGTTTGGTATGGACTTCCAGAGTTTTTATTGCGTTTTACATCTTCTCTTACATTCCCAGTAAATTTTCTTTTTTTGGCACGTATTTCTTCAGGAATATCCATTTTTTTTATCGAAAACAGTACACCCGAACACCGCTTAAAAAGCTTTGCTAGGTTATGATAAATAAGCAGCTGTTCGTTGGCACTTACTACGTTTTGATATGTAATTCCTTACATCGCCGCTGGACAAAGCGCCATCGATATAAATTTTATTGTGCAAGTAAAGCATGGCACATACTATCTATTTAGCATATAATCCGCATTTGTGAAAAAGTGGCACTTACAACGTTATGCATATGGCACGCTTCAATTAAAAAATATTGACTCAAAACTGACAACTAAAGAGACAGCTTTATTTATTTGTCAAATTACATAGAAACCAAGGCCAACCCCCAGCACAATATTTTTTCTACTTGAAATAATAATTTCTGAATATTTTTTAAAACGTAGGTAACTCGCTATGGAAAAAATATTGTTTTATACACGACGATAAAATTGCATTATCATCTCCCGAAATTAATTCATTCGCGATTTCATCGTTCGTGTATTAATCTTTTCGGTCGACGATAAAATACCATTTTATCGTCTTGTATTAAAAATAACTATTAATTATTATTACCAAGTCCCCCGAAAGTACCGAAAGAACCGGGAATTAATAATTTCGAGTCCCGGATGTCTCAAAAAATCTGAACCCTACTAACAATATCAAAAAACCGAATCGATACGTCCGCCAAGTAAATCTATCGATATCGAGATGGTATCTCCTCATCCCTAGCCGTAGTTAATTAATTTCTTTCTGTCCGCGCGCGCCGCCATTGTTGTAATGATCAACATGGAAAATGGCAATTAATATAATTTAGATTAAAATAAGCGCGTATTTAAATATTATCACATGCCACGGCCAAACGACAAAACGAGCTCCATTATTATATTTCTGGCCGGGGCCTGAACAAACAATATTGGTCTTTTAAATATTAATAATTCGCCGACTGGCCGCGATTAAAAATAAAAATAATAATTTATATCTGGGACTGAGTGAACTAACTGCCAGTGAACGGTTTTATTGCCCGTTGTTGATCTCGTTTAATTAATTCAATATTTTATATATTTCGCGACTAATACATCGTTAAATTTGAATTGGGAGAGTTATGTGTGAAAATTAATCTGATTATTTAATAATAAGCGGTTTGGGCGATATTAATGTAAATGCGTGGGAGTTTGATCATTTTTTAATCAGCTAATAACATACAGTACAGGGTGGCATAATTCCAGTTAAATAAAAATAATGAATATACGATTTCATGATTTTGGTAGTAATTAATATGCAGCAAATTTAGATAAAATTGGGTGATATTTAAAAAAACGGCTTGCTAAAGATTCTGACATCATGGTATTTCTGGAAAGAGAATGTATTTTATTGCAATCCCACTAGGCAAAGAAAATATGCAACAATGCATTTAACAACCTACAACTTTAGTTTCTTCAAGAAGGCGTCCATTCTTCTCAGAGAGACCTGGTTTAAATTAAAAAAAAAGAAGAAAAAAGACTCAACTTTAAGTACAACTTTAGTGTAAATAATTATTATTTAAATCACACTGTACAGAGTGGCGCCTCTCATACGACGCGGAGGCTCCAAGGAGAACGGGAATTTATATGGAAATGGAATTTTGGGAACAATATATATAGAGTTCTACAGGGTGTGAAAAAGTTACGCATCAAAGTTGGATTTTTTGTAATGAAATACCCTATATATTAATTGATTTTCGGATTCTAGAAAAAAAATAAAGATGAGTTTCATTAAAGAAGAATATACCTAAATTATAAGGATTTAGACATAATATTTCACATTTTGTAAAAATGTAGAATATATTTAAATTCCAATAACACCTACATAATTTGTAATTTACCCTGTATAGCCTGATATTTAATTACAATAACCATTGAATGTTAAAATAAATTAAAATTTATCCCGAAAAGTTATACAGGGTGAGACAAAATTAATACTGAACATTGGCCACTTTTAAAAGGAAGTTACTTCTTTATTTTAAATGGAACACATAGTATATTATACCGGTATTCAATGGAGAATTCATATATCTTTAAAATACTATTAGGGTTGTCTCTGTCTTTCAGACAAAGGTTTTCCTAGATATTTTCATTTTATGATTTTGCCTCTGTTGATCTTTATTATTTGATAATCTAGGTGGCTATGATATACCTTTTCATAATTGAACAAAAATTAAACGATGTAGAATAAAATACACAACGGCACTAAAAAGATACACGTTTAGAACATATTTTAATTATTACAGAATCAAAACTAGATATAGACTGTATCCTTTCCTGTTCACTACAAAAAATGATTCTTTTTCAAAAGACCTTTTCCTGTTAAAATGCATATGTGAAGGTCTGCTTCGAAAGTCACAATCATTTCTTTGATGTTGTCGACAATAGTTAACATACCCCAATAAAAAAAAGTTAGGACTAGAAAAATTAAAAATTAGGAACATTTAAGTATTCTATTAAATGGTGAATACACACTGCAGTCACCAGCTAATATAGAATCATATCAATTCTCTCTGATGTAGGATCAGTCTCCATTTTTGACAAATTTCTGAGATATTTTTTTTAATTTTAACTGACACAAAACGATAACTAATTGATAAAGTTGATCTAATTTCACAGCTGTGTTGAAGCAACGTCAAACGTATCACAGCCACCTAGATTTTATCAAATAATAAAGATCTACTGGCAGTAAATCATAAAATCATAAAACATCGAAATAATATACTGGGTGTTTCATGTAAAATAAAAGAGTATATATCAATATTTATTTTGTCTCACCCTGTATCGTTTTTTAGGCCAAGTTTTAATTTGATTTAAAGTACAATCGTTATTTTAACTACATCTTACTACATCGGGATATACCGAATAAATTCGAATTTAGGTAGCTTTTATTGAAATTTAAAAATTGTTCTTAATTTTTAGAAAATGTTATGTATGTCAAAAACCTTATGTTTTCATATACTTCTCTGATGAAACTCACCTTTATTTTTCTCCTAGAATCTGAAAATCTATTAATATATAGGGTGTTCCATTACAAAAAAACAACTTTGATGCGTAACTTCTTTTGAAGACACCCTGTAGAACTCATTATATTTTTAAAAAAATGTTCTAAATTAACATATAGATGCGCGCAAAATTTCATTTCAATACTGTCGTTCTCCTTGGAGACTTCGCGTCGTATGAGAGGCGCCACCCTGTATAAATAATATCTCAGAAAATAAAAACTAAAACCGAAATATTCAGTTTTTCTGACATATTTCCGGAAATATAAGTTCAATTACTAAACGGATTATAAATGGGCTCACTAACAGACAACTTTGCTCCGATTTAAGCGATCCTGTATCTCTTACTGTTACCGAGATTCCAACGGTGGGAGTCAAGTTTGAATCACCCGGTATCAATATCATGCAATAAAACATGTATAAAACAAATATATATTTATATTATTACTCATTATTTAAGGGGTCGCATTTATATGAAGTTTAGGCAAAAACATTCACCTTTAGAGACCAGTTTGGGCGAGTTATGTAAATTTTTGGGCGGTGAGATCATACCCACGCCAAGACATTAAAAGCTGATGAAATTTCCATAAAGGAATCCAAAGGGCTGGGAAATTTGTTGTTTATAGAAAAGCCGTGGCCGCAAAAAACCTCTTCTAATAGAAATGTAAATTTATCGAATTTGGGAATTGGTTATTGAATTTTTACATTTGCATCACAAAAGACTGGAACCCCGAAAAAGAAAAACGTAAACCTTTGGAGGAAAAAAGCATAAAATATTCATCTGGGCACTTGTATCATTCCTTTTTATGTTTTGGAGAAAGTTTGTAATTTTATTGGGGAAAAATAACCGAAATAGGAGGTATTTTTGGAGAGGGATATATCCGATAAAAAATAAGGAGATTTCGAAAATAAAAGTTTACTTTAATAAACAAAATTGAATAAAACATTTTGTTTGTTTAACTCATTTCGAATGATATTTTCTTTATAAAAGAAATTAAATCTAGATTAGATTGTAGGATTGTATGGGAGGAAGAAAGTTAATTATTATAGATCTATTTTGTCCTCCTTCCTTGAGTTATAACTCATCATACAGTCCCAGGGCTTTGATAAAAGCTAGTATCTGAGACGGTTTTACAGGGGTTAGTCCTCCATTTTCGATATCAGATGTATCAAAGTTTATGGCACGAATGGTTGCTTAGTCTCATTACTGAGTGCGCCGAGACGACAACCAAAATGTTTCCTCATTTTCCCCACAGAATCTGCATTCGCCGTTGTTTCTTAGCTTCAATCAACAATCAACTGAGGTGTTCATTGAGGAAACAGTGTCCTCAGAAAGTCCTGAGAAATTTCTTCGATTGTCTTAGACAGTTGGACAATTCCCATTCCAGGTTACGGACGAATTCTTCCAGGTTCTTAAGTTCTGCTTAAAGTTGATTTACACTTGGGAAGCATAACGGTTCTGGTCCAGTTTTTGCAGTGTTCGCTCCTTTTCTAGCCAGATCGATTGCTTTTTCAACGCCCTTTTTCTCATCCCTTTGCGGGTTGGCCACCAAACCGCAAGTAGGAGAACTTATTTCTCTTATTATTAACTTCGAATTGATGGTTATTGAGTTAATCGCTTTTAAAGCTTTACTTTGAATGTGGTAGACAATGATTCAGTATTAAAACTAAAAGAATTTCGGACTTCCATTGTCTTTATTTCTTTTGGTTATTCAGCACAGAATTAGCATTGCTTCAAGAGCATTCTGGAAATTAAAAGACAAGGTTTTCTACAATCATGACTTGAGCACAAAAACGAAACTTGCAATGTACCGAATAATAATCTCCACCATGATATATGGAAGCGAAACCTGGGTGCCGCATGCCGTACCGCTGGCACACGAGCGCATTAAACAAGTTGCAACAGAGACACCATAGACAACTCTTAAGAATCAAATCATTTCATCATGTCTCAAACGTATCGGTCCTTGAAAAAATTAACTGCGAGACTATTGAAGTCATGATTACAAAATCCCGATTAAGATGAGCTGGTCACCTATGCAGAATGCAAGAAAACCGCATACCAAAATCTCTGCTTTACGGTGAGCTTGTAGAAGGTAAGAGGTGGCCAGGTGGACAACTCAAAAGGTACAAGAACATTTTCCATGAAAACTAAAAGGGGATAAGTATGCAGCATCAGTGGGGGAAGCAGCGCACAATACACGGAAAAAAATCATTTCTATATTCAAGAATCA